CCCCGCCTGTTCCTCCCTCCCCTCTGCCCCTCCCCATCAACTTCAGTGCTACCAACCGTGGTTTCATCACCGGTGTGGCGATCGTGGTTTTCGTCGAGCAGCTCGCCAAGGCCTTTGGCCTGACTTCCGCTTGGGATCCCAAGGCCGCCACCCTGGAAAAGCTCATCTTCGTGTTCAAGCACCTTGACGAGACCCAGTGGATGCCGGTGCTCTTCAGCTTCCTCGGTCTCGGCGCCTTGCTGGTCTTCCGCTACATCCGCGGCCGGTGCGTCTGCCCTGTCCCCGGTGGCCGTCCGGTTGCTTCGCCCCCCCCCCCCCCCCTGCCGATCTGTCCTCCCGTCATCCATGCGCTGATGCCCCTCTTTCTCGCCCTCGCTCCGGCCGTTTCTCTTCTTCACCCTTCCGACGCAGCTTCCCCAACGTCAAGGCCCTCAAGCTCTTCCCCTCGATCCTGGTGCTGATGCTTATCTCCGAGCTGCTGGTCTGGTCCTTGGATCTGCACAACCAGGGCCTGCCGGTCCTCGGTGAGCTGGAGGGTGGCTTCCGCGTGCCGGCCCTGCCGAAGCTCAACTCCTCCAATGTCTCGTATGCCACCATGTCGGCCGTGGTCATCACCATTGTCGGCTTCGTGGAGTCCATCATCAGTGCCAAGGATATGGCCACCAAGAACTCCTACCCTGTCTATGACAACCGCGAGCTCGTGGCCTACGGTGTGGGCAACATCATCAATAGCTTCTTCGGTGGCTACCCGGCCTTTGCGTCCATGACGCGTACCACTGTGCGTGCTCGCTGCTGGAATTGCTCGCTATTCCTGCCTCATGTGTTGCCTCTTTGGCGCGTCTTTCTGACCCATTGGTCCCCACATCATTCGACACACACACACACACACACATGTAGGTTGCCGATGATGTCGGTGTCAAGTCCCCGATGCACGGCCTGATCGCCTCCATCTTTGTGCTCTTCACTATTCTCTTCCTTCTCCCCATGTTCCAGTGGCTCCCTCTGTCCACGCTGGCTGCCATCGTCATGTACGCCGCGTACAGCCTGCTCGAGTGGCACGACTACTTTTTCATGTGGCGCATCCGTGCCTACTCCGATCTGGCCATGGCTGCGGCCACCTTCCTGGTGACCGTTCTTGTGTCGGTGGAGGTACGCAACACCCCAGCATTCTCTCTCTCTCTCTCTCCCCTCCCTTTCCCTCTCCTTCATCCTGTTTGCCCCTTGTGTCGTTGTCCCCGTTCATTGTGCTCATCCGCCCTTGCCCTCGAACACATCGCACGTACGCGCGTACAACACAGATTGGCGTCTTCTTCTCCATCCTCCTGTCGATTGGCCTCGTCATGAAGGAGGCCACCAAGCCTGTTGTCCGTGTCCTCGGCCAGATTGACGGCACCGACAAGTTCAAGGACCAGACTCGCCACCCGGAGGCCACTCAGGTCGAGGGCGTCATCGTTCTGCGTGTCATGGAGTCGCTCTACTTCGCCAACACCGGCCTCCTGAAGGATCGCCTCTACCGCGTGGAGATGTTCGGCAAGCTCGAGTCCCACCCCAGCCAGGACAAGCGCCCAGTCCACTTCACGGCCATCATCTTCGACATCGAGCGTATGCACGAGATCGATGCCACGTGCGTTGACACCCTCCCTCCTGCCTCAACCTGCCGGTCTGCCTCTCCCTTGGCAACCCAGCCCGCCCCTTCCTGTGCTCACTCCCCCTCGTTTCCTGGCTCCCCCCCCCCTCCCTCATCCCTGCATGCCCCACAGTGCTGTTCAGATCATGTACGAGGTCACCACCGCCTATGACAAGCGCAACATCCACACCTACTTCGTGCGTTACCATGAGGCGGTCTTCGACCGGATGTCCAAGGCCGGCATTGTGGCCATCCCTTCGGTGCACTTCGAGCCGAGCATTCGCGCTGCGCTGGACTCGATCAGCTCGCTGTCCGGCGGTGACGGGCATCCGAAGGTCGTGGTCGATGCGGCCTTCCCGGCTGCCGATCGGTCTTCGCCGGTTCCCTCGGTCTCCTCTGCCAGCGTGTCCCCGGAGCTGGTCGGCGATGCACCCGTGTGAGTGCTTTGGGGTTCCTTCTCCCGCCCCCCCTCTCCAACCTGAGGGAACTTCCCTTGCCCTTCCTCCGCCCCCCTCCCCCTTCTGGGGGCGGCCCCCGTACCTTTCCCCCACCATACATGTCCCCTCTCCTTCCGCCCTTTCCCCACGCGCTTTTCACGTCACTCAGACAGGGGGGGGGGGGCCATACAGGGTATTTCGGGCTTCATTCGTGCAGGCAAGAGCTCAAGGGAGGCAGGGGGGCGCGCAACATGTGTGTATGTGGTCATGCGTAGGAGGAGAGGAGGGTCCATCGCATGATAAAGGCCTGGGGGGTGGGGGCCCATACGGAACATTGCTTAGGCACAGCCTCCCGAGCTGCACTTCTTGGCAGCGCCGCGGGTGGGCCGCAGGGGAGGGGTCTTCTCGTGGAGCTCATGGCGGTTCTGATCGATGGTGATACCTGAATGGAGATCCGGCGAGGGGGGTTAGCACCGGGAGAAAGTGTCAATAGATGTCGGGGGTCTCTCGCAGGACGCACAGTAAACATCGCCAGTCTCGCCGGTCGAAGAAGCAACATTCTCCTGGGTGCGGACCGCCTGGGCAACGTTGCGCAGCAGGAAGGTGGCCACAGCGTGGGCCTGCTCGCAAGCGGCACCGGCATCGGGATCGCTCAGCTCGTGGTTCTGGGCGAAGGCCTGACGAATCTTCACCTGGGCGGCTGGGTTGGTGAGGTTGTCGCCGGTGGATGGATGGGCGAATGCGCGGTAAGTACGGGCAGTGCATGGGAAGAGCCAAGGGGGGACACAGGGCCACAGGCGCACCCTCCAGAGCATGGGAATCGCCGCGGAAGGCGGTCAGGCGCGCGCGCTGCAGGGCGCGGTAGGCGGCGAGGGCGCGCGACACCGACAGCGACGGCGCGGTAAGCACAGAGCTGATGGGAGCAGAGGACATGGCAAGGGAGAGCGGCAGGGAGGGGGAGAAAGTGGGCGTGTTGCACGAGGGGGGAGAGGGTGGTGGTGGGGGGTGGTGGTGGTGGTGGTGGCGAATGTATGTGGCCTGTATGTTGTGAGTACACAGGGGGGGGGAGGTTGATGTGCGAGGTTTGCTGGTGGGCCTCATTTGGGCCGCCGCCCGGGCTGGGGCCACTTGTAGGGGACACTCAGGGGAGATGTGGGCGATCGACCCGGCCCGGTCCGACCCGGCGCAATCTCGGCCGCAGCAAGAACGCACCCCGCCAGTGCGTTTTGGGTGTGTGTGTGTGTGTGTGTGTGTGGCGGGGGAGGAAGGGCCGGGTGCGTGGACGTGCCCACCAACCGGACCGGTGCCTGAGGTCTGGCCCGCCGCACCCCCCTCCGCGCCTGCCCCGGTCCCGCCCTCCCTCTCCGTCGCCCCCCGCGTCCCTTGTTTGGGCGAGGGCGAGATGCTCGTCGGCCCGGGGGGACACGTTGTTGGCCCGGATCGCAATCCAGTTCACCAGATCGCAGGGGGGGGGGCAAAAGGCTGGTCGTCGACGCGATCTGCCCCTTGCCGGGTTGTCGATCCGCCGCGCCCCTTGCACGCCGGAATGGAAACCAGGACCGGCAGACGGGCGAATTGGCGTCCTGCCTGGAGATCGATCCCCTGGACATCGGGGGTAAACTTTCCCCCCTCGCCACGCCCCGCCCCGCCCATCAAGAGGCCCCACATAGCGAAGTATCCTCAGACGGCGGAATTCGACGCCGCAGCGCGCCCCATATATCCCCCCCCGGGGCTGGCCGCCCCCCCTCCCTCGCCCTGTGCGTGGTGACCATCCTCCGCCGCCTTTGCCGCAGCCCGCCCGTGACAAACACCGAGCCGGCAGGCTGTTCGCCATTCCTCGGGCGTTCTGGACCGAGCAGCACCCGGCCGGGTTCGGCGTGTGCTGGGCACCCGCCTCGGATCAGGTGCCACCGGATCAAATGCGGTTCTAGGATCATATGCCAAAGGAGAGGCTGACCATGTTGGGTCTGTCTGCGAGATCCGGCGGCGTGTCTCCTTCGGGGACGCCCCGAGAAGGACCGCGGCTAACAGCGCCAGGCTCTGTGCCCCGCATGTTGAGGGATTCCCTCCAGTCGGCAATCGCCTCCCGCTCCCGGTAGCCGAAGATGTAGGCCATTTGATCGTCATGTCGAACGTTCGAAGGCATTTCCGACCAGCAGCCCGGCCTTGACTGCCTTGCCCAACCTCCCCCGACAACCCGCCCGACGGCTGGACTGAGTAACACCGTGTAGGTTTGTCCCTTTCCCCCCCCCCCGCCCCACACGGGGCATGTCCCCTGGCGAGGCTCCGTTTCCCCGGGCAGCTGCCAACCCTTCCTCGTACAAGTCCAATATTGGAGCACTTTAAGCGTGTGCCAGGGGGAATAGCATTTGAGCTTAGGGATTGGCCCTGGCAAATATCCAATTTTCCGGATGGCACCCTCTGCCGCTGGGAGACCGCCGGAGATGCTCCGTGGACCGGCAAGCACGCCGTGTCCGCCCCGGTGGGTGCGCCGTCGGCACCGGGGCGGCCGGGAGGGGAGCGGCGAAAGCCGGGCGGGTGTCCCTGGACCCGGGCGGGTGTTGCCCGGGCGCGGGATATCCGGTAGGGAATGGTCTTCGCGCCTGGACCCTGCCCCCGTCCGGGGCAACCCAGGGGACGCAGGTGTGCCCGGCATGTGCGCATGGGGGCGCGCGTGAATCGCGGTCTGGCAGGCTGGCGAGAGTGGTTCCGTCGGCCTCATCCCCCCGCCCCCCCGTCGTGGCTGTGGTTGCCGCCCCCGGGTGCAGCGGAGAAACACCCGGGAATGATCGGCCTGGGGCAGGCAGGGCACACGCGGGCCTGGCCCCCCTTGCGCCCTTGACCCCGGCAGCTAGGTGGCCGCCGAAAAGGAGCCCAAAATCACCCAGTGCTTACGCGTGCCGGCCGGCGCACTTCGCCCTCGCCGGACGGCCAGCCGGCGGCCCGCTCCAGAACTGGCGTGCTCCGGGTGCACCCCCTGTGTGCGTGCTTGAGCAGCACCCCGGTTGGGGGACTCGGGCGTGTGTGGGCGTGGGGGCCGGCATCCCCGCCACTTGTGGTGGGGGCTGCCCCGACCCGCGGCGAAGTCCCCCGCCCCCCCCCCCCCGCGCGCCCGCGCGCCCGCGCGCCCGCGCCCCCCAAACGAGCCTAGACCCGGCCATTTGCCTGGTATCTTTTTTTGCCACCCACCTGGCCGGCGGGCCCGCCCGGCGGGCCGCCCTCCATCCCCTGTCCCCTTCCGAGATATCTTCCCCATCTACGACGGAGACTCCCCCCCCCTCTCCCTTCCTCACCATGCTTGACATCAACCTTCTTCGTGCCGACAAGGGCGGCAACCCCGAGCTCGTCAAGGAGTGGCAGCGCAAGCGCGGCAAGGACGTCAACGAGGTTGACGCCATCATCGAGCTTGACACCAAGTGGATCTCCCGTGAGTCTGGCCACGTCCCCTCCGCTCCCTTTCCTCTCCCTTTGCCTTGGCTCTTGCCCCCTGCTCCGGCGCTTTCCTTCTTTCTCTCTCCTCCTCCCCGGTCTCTCGTGCATGCGCTGACCTTCCTGCTTCCCTCGGCCCCCCTCCGGCAGTTCGCTACGATGTTGACCAGTTCAACAAGCAGATCAACGCCGTCCAGAAGAAGATCGGTGCCGCCATGAAGGTGCGTCACATCTGGCCGATCGACCCGGCCCACTTCCCTTCCCTCACTCACCTCGATGATTTGCCATCGCTGATCCATCTTTCGCCTTTCCCGCCGGCCCCCCCCCTCCTCTCCTCCCCTCCCCTGGCTTTTCGCGCACCCAGGCCAAGGAGGCTTGCGATGAGCTCCTCGAGGAGAAGAAGTCTCTCGAGGCTCAGCGTGCCGATGTCACCACCAACATGAACGACACCCAGACCGAGCTGAACCGCCGCCTCAAGGCCCTCGGCAACATGGTCCACGATACCGTCCCCGATTCGCAGACCGAGGTATGCATCGGCCCTCGGCCCTTCCTTTCCCCCCCCCCTGTCTCCGAGCATTTGGCCATCCCACATATATGCGGGGAGGGCTCAGGCTGCTCAGGCTGCTCACCTTTCATCTCCCCCCCCCTCCCCTGGCGGGGCTTGGCCCGGCGACTGGCGTAGGATGACAACGTCATGGAGCGTTTCTGGCCCGAGGAGCTCAAGGAGGGCACCCGTCGTGAGGACTTCCTCTTCCACTTCGAGGTTCTCGAGCGCCTGGACGGCTATGACCCGGAGCGCGGCCAGAAGATCGCCGGTCACCGTGGGTACTTCCTCAAGAACTGGGGTGTCATCCTGAACCAGGCCCTCATCAACTATGGCATTGCCTTCCTGCGCAAGCGCCAGTACGACATCCTGCAGACTCCCTTCATGATGAACCAGGATATCATGGCCGAGACTGCCCAGCTGGAGGAGTTCGACGAGGCCCTCTACAAGATCACCGGTGCCGGTGCCGACAAGTACCTGATCGCCACCTCCGAGCAGCCGATCTCCGCCTACCATCGTGGTGAGTGGCTCGAGCCCAAGTCCCTCCCCCTGCGTTACGGTGGTGTGTCCACCTGCTTCCGCAAGGAGGCCGGCGCTCACGGCAAGGACACCTGGGGCATCTTCCGCGTGCACCAGTTCGAGAAGGTCGAGCAGTTCATCTTCTGCGCCCCGGACAAGTCCTGGGAGATGTTCGACGAGATGATCGGCTCCGCCGAGGAGTTCTACCAGTCTCTGGAGATCCCCTACCGCGTGGTCAACATCGCCTCCGGCGCCCTGAACAACGCCGCTGCCAAGAAGCTCGATCTTGAGGCCTGGTTCCCGGCCTTCGGCGCCTACCGCGAGCTTGTGTCCTGCTCCAACTGCACTGACTACCAGTCCCGCAACCTGGAGATCCGTTACGGCAACAAGACCGTGCGTTCCTGCGGCACCGATCATCTTCCCTCCCCCGCACCCTCTCCCTCCGTCCCCCTGTCCGCCCGTCTGCCATGCCGGGATTGCTCTTCTTCCTCCCTTTCTAACCTCCCCATCCTGCTGTCTCTGTCTCTGTCTCTGTCTCTGTCTCTGTCTCTGTCTCTCTGTCTCTCTGTCTCTCTGTCTCTCTGTCTCTCTGTCTCTGTCTCTCTATCTCTCTGTCTCTCTCTATCTCTCTGTCTCTCTCTCTCTCTCTCTGTCTCGCTCTCTGTCTCGCTCTTCCCCCGACCACGACAATGGCAACGGCATCCTCACTGCCATCACACCAACATTCGACCCATCGCAGATGCACGGCAAGGACAAGGTCTACGTTCACTGCCTGAACGCCACCCTGACTGCCACCGAGCGCACCCTGTGCTGCCTGCTCGAGAACTACCAGACCCCGGAGGGCCTGCGCGTCCCGACCGTCCTGCAGCCCTTCGTCGGTGTGGACTTCATCCCCTACGTGAAGCCCCTCCTGAAGAAGCGCCAGCTCACCGAGCTTGCCACCGCCCCGGCCCCCACCAACTAAGTGTATGCCTGTGAGTGTATGTGTGGGTGTTTTCCCCTGGCCCACCACATGCCCATGTGCATGCTGCTAGCCTGTGCACACAAGGGCCGAGAGGAGATCCTTCTCCGGGCTGGCCCTGGCGCCCCCTTTCTCCGTTTGTATGCACCCCGGGTGCCGGACCACAGTGTATGACACTGCCCGCCAGAACAGGTGGCGAGGGCATCGGCAGGAGTATAAACGCATACACGCGCGGCCCCCTCGCCCCCCCCCCCCGCATGGCGCGCGTATTACTGCCTTAGCAGATGTCCCTCTCCTCCTCTCTCTCCCTCCCTCCGCCATATAAAATACATTCCCCCCTGCGAGATGAGAGCCTCTCCCCGTTTTCTTCACCTTGTATATGTTTCCGAAAATGCATACGTGTGTGCGCGTGTGCGTGCGCGCACGCGTGTGTGTTTGTCGAACGTAGACGTGTGTATGCCATGTACGCGTGCGATATCTGCCCCCCGTCTTCTGTCGGCGCCGGGCGCACCCCCTGGCATGTGTACCCCACAAGCCGGCTGCCTCTGTTGCCAACGCATCGCCTTGTCACCGGCGGACTCCCATGCCGGGGCCACGTCCATTCTTTTCCACGTTGACCCATCCCCCCCCCCCCCCCATGGCAAAGGGGCCAGGCCTTTTCGGCCACAAGATCACCTTGCACCGTCGTTCTTTTCAGTACCATCCACCCTTGCCACACGCCTGACGGGAAACATCTTCGCCCCCCCCCTCCTCCTTTTCTTCGCCTCCTTCCCGCCCACCACCATCCCGGCCTTGCAAGTTGGCATGTCTCTCCCTCCGCCTCCCAAGACTTTCACCGTGCACCAGGGCCTCGGCCATCGAGCCGAGATCTCGACAGCTCGCTTTGCCCCGGACACCCGCCTGGTCCTGGGGTCGTCCAGCCGCTGGCGCCGGGGGGTCATCCGCGAGGCTCTTGGCCTATCCGAGGACCAGGCCGGCGCATACAGCCCCGAAGCACTGGCCGGCGGCTTGATGCTGGCCTCCATCAGCCCGGACTTCGATGAGACCGCGGCGATTGGTGACCTGCAGGGTGCCCTGGCCCAACATGGGCCACACCATGTGGCGCATTTCCTCGCGCGCGGCAAGGCTGACTCGATTCTGCCTCGGCTAGCCGTACGCTGCACCCTCTCCCTCCCCCCTCCCCTCGTCTTCCCGCTCGGTGCTCACATTGTTTAACACCTCTCTCTCTCTCACTCACTCACTCCTCCCCCCCCCTCTCTCTGTCTTTCTCTCCCAAGGATGCCCCCTGCCCGGTTATTCTGATCACCGCAGATCAGATCGTTTCCTGTGGCCCGGAGTATCGCGTGAAGCCCACGTCGGCGGATGTGCGTTTTGCCTTCCATTCCGCTGTCTTCTTGCCACCTGTTTCCACGTCACTCTGACTCGTCCCCCTATCGCTCCTCCACCCCCTCCCCACCACCCTGGCTGTCCTTCTTGCCCTCTCGTCCGCGCAGGAATGCCGGCGCTTCATCGGGTCTTACCGCGAGAATCCGATCTCCTGCCACAACAGCCTGATCCTCACTCACCTGCCCTCCGGCGTGTCGGTCGCCGGGGCCGATTCCAGCTCCCAATACTTCGCTCCCTTCCCGGACACGGTGATCGAGCAGCTGGTTGATGGGGGCCGAGGGGAGGTGATGAGCTGCGCCGGTGGTATCACGGTGGAGTCGCGTGCGTTACTCTCAAATCACGAGTTCATACATTGGCACTTCCACTCACGCCGCCTGCTTCTTGCTCCGCCCAACGCACGCCCGGTGTGCCCGCCCCCCCGCATGGACAATGCGAAAAAACAATACCCCGCGGCCGGTGGGGGGGGGGGGGGGGGGAATAACTTGTATTCAGCCCTCCTGGAGCCGTATCGCACGGAGCTGGTCGGTTCGATGGAGTCCATCCAGGGTCTGCCGCTGGCCCTGTTGCAGACGCTGCTGGATGAGCTGCACCAGGCCGTGGAGGCGGCCGGCCATTCGCCAGCGTGCTGAGCGGCTGTGTGTGTCTCTCTCTCTCTCTCTCTCTCTCTCTGTCCCTCACCCTCGCCCTCACCCCTGCTGGCCCTGCCAAATGGTGCGCATGGGTACGCGGAAGGAGCGCGCTTGGAGCCTTGCCGGGCCGTGGCCCCGCCCGGTCAGTTGGTCCTTTTTCGCTTCTTGGTACTCCTGTCATGACTCACCGCGCCTTTGTGGCCACACCCGCCGAGAGGCCGGCCGCACATTGCCTGTGGGATAGGGAATGTGTTGGCCCGCGTGTATCGGTACATGCGGCGTCATGCGTGTGCTCGCGCGTAGGCCACGTATGCGCAAGTGCCCACGAGGATGCCCCAGCGGCTGGTGAATATACACGCGTGTCGCCCCTTCTCCTCCTCGTCCCCCCCCCTCTCTTTCTCTCTCTCTCTCTCTCTCTCTCTCTCTCTGTCCCTCTCGCTCCTGACCTGGTCCTGCCTTGGAAGCCGGAGCTGACAACTAATTGAGCCCTGGTGGGAATTGTTTTTCCCAGCATGTCTTGATGCCCAGGTGTGGGAAAGCGCCCAGGCGCTGGGAAAATGACTTCCATTTCTGCGGCTCGTCTTCGTGCCTCTTCCCGCGGGGTATGCCGGCGTAGGTCTCTCCCTCGGGCTGGAGGGCAAGAAGGGCGGTCGTTTGTTGTTTTCCGGAGCAGGGATGCCTGCATGCCTGGAGCCGAGGCGGGGCCAGGTGCCCTGCTTGGCGCCAGGCCGTCGACCAGCGAACATCTAGGGGGCTGTGTCCAAGCATGGGTGCGTGGGTGCGTGGGCGCGTGGGTGAGTGTGTGCGCGTGTGGGCGTGTGTGTGTGTGTGCGTATGTGTGTGTGTGTGTCGGCATGCGCGTGACTTCCGGTAGGACTGCTCCTGTGCCCGGCCAATCTGACTGGCAGTCGGCCAGGCTCACGCCAGAGGACGACCATCGCAGGGCAGGTCCGCCATCATTTAGGTCACCTCGCCGACGCCCTCAGAGAAGCTGGTTGGGGGGAAAGCAGCTCCACTCCGCGCGGCGCCCCGTTTCCCGTGTACGAGCGATCTTCCCACTCCGCATCTCCCCTTCCCTGCCCCCCCTCCCCTTCCCTGATACTTCGTCTCACACGCCTGCATTTGGTGGATTTCCCTCCCACCATAGAGCTACCAGCCTCCCTTCCCCCCCCCCTCCCTCCCGCCCTCGTTCAAAGCCACACCCCCTCCTCCCTCCTCCCACGATGACCGTCAGCAGTGTGAATGTTCCCCCTTCGGTGCAGATTCACCAGGAGACCGCCGCCGCCCTGACCGTGGGCCCTTGCGGTCGCATGCAGGTGAAGCTCATCATCAAGGCTCGCTTCCTTCTGCCCATCATCCCCGGTGCGCCATGCTCCCCTCCTCCTCTCCCCCCTCCCCCGCCAACCCCCCCCAATACCACAAACCTCCTCCTCCTTCCCCCTCTCTCTAACTCTTCCTCCCCCTTGATCCTCTCTCCTGCTCTCGTGTCGATGCCCCATCTTTGCCCTCACCCCAGAGGACACCCTTCACCAGCGCTTCTCGGTTGCCATCAACACCGAGGGCACCATCGTTGCCCTTGGCCCGTCGACCGACATCGCTGCTGCCTTCATGTACGTCTCCTGTGTCTGTCCTTCGCCCCTCTTTCTCCCTCGCTCCCTCTCCTTCTCCCCCCCCCCCAAAAAAAAGGGTGCAACCACCACTGACCTCGCTTTTCGGCCGACTCTCCTCCCATCAATTCCCCCTCTTCCATACAGTGCCGAGGAGAATGTCGACCTGCTCAAGGTGCGTCGCCCCCCTCCTGCACTTCTGGCTCTGCTCTGCCTCTGTTGACTGACCCCCGGCCCCTTGTTCTGGGACACAGTCCGTCCTCCTGCCTGGCTTTGTCAATGGCCACGCCCACGCCGGGATGACCAACATGCGCGGCTATGCCGAGGATCTCCCCCTGAGCGAGTGGCTGACCACGGCCGTGTGGCCGGCCGAGGGCCGCTGCGTGTCGCATGCCTTTGTTCGTGATGGCACTCAGCTTGCCATTGCCGAGATGCTTCGCAGCGGCACCACCTGCTTCAATGAGATGTACTTCTTCCCGGAGGCCACCTGCGAGGTGGTCGATGAGACCGGCATCCGGGCCGTTGTCGGCATGACCATCATGGGTGCGTGCCATTGGGGTCCCTTGCACATGCACATGCCCATACCCATGGCAGGTCACTGCTATGCTCCTCATGGCCATCCCGCTGCTGTGTGTGGTGCACCCATTCCCGTCCTTGTTCCCTTTCTCACCGGCTGTGCCTGCATGCAGATTTCCCCACCAACTACGCCAGCAACTATGACGAGTATGTTTCCAAGGGTCTGGAAGCGCACAAGCTGTACAACAGCCACCCGCGCATCTCGTTCACCGTGTCCCCGCACGCGCCGTACACCGTCTGCGATGAGAACCTCTCCAAGGCATGGGACCTGGCCAAGGAACTGGATGTGCGTCCTCCTCCTCCCCCTCCCCTCTCAGGGGAATGCCCATGCAATGTGCCCCGAGGCAGCGGTCCTCTTACACCTCCCCCCCCCCCCCTCTGTCGGCTTTTCGCATCCTTCCCCCGTCTAGATCCCTTTCAACATTCACCTGCATGAGACTGCCGATGAGGTGCTGCACTCCTCGGAGCCCGGCCATGAGGGCTCTTCTTCTCGGCACCGGTCGTCGGAATACTGCAGCCCTGTGGTCAACCTCGACCGCCTGGGCATTAAGGGTGCGCCCTTGACAACCTCCTTCAAGCTTGTGCTTCTCTCCTGCCATTGCCTCAAGCATCGCTGACCTGTCTTTTCTTTCGCCTCTCTGTCCCCCACTGCCCAGGGCCTCGGCTGATCGGTGCGCACATGGTGCATCTGTCCGACAGCGAGATCGAGCTGCTGGCAAAGGAGAAGTGTACGTCCCTCCCTCGCTGATGCTGTGCCCTCCCCGGGCTTGGCCCTGCTGCTGACCCTGCACCATGTTCCTCCTCTCCTTCTCGGACTTTCGGGCCCCTCCGTCTGCTCTGCAGCCAACACCATCCATTGCCCGGAGTCCAACCTAAAGCTGGCATCCGGCTTTTCCCCCGTCCAGAAGCTCCTCAATGCCGGCGTCAATGTTGGCCTCGGCACTGGTGCGTCCATGCCCTCGCTGAACCTTCAAAATCCCCCCTCCCCCGGTTTTTGACACATGCCCCCCCCCCCTCCCCCCCACCGCCCACAGACTCTTCCTGCTCGAACAATGACCTGTCCATGCTCGGGGAGATCCGCACTGCCTCGCTGTTGGGCAAGGCAGTTCATGGCTGCGCGGCCGCCATGCCCGGTATGACTGCCCTGAAGATGGCCACCATCAATGGCGCCCGTGCCGTTGGTCTTGATGTATGTACATCTACATCCCTCTGCTCCCCCCCCCCTCCCCTCTCTCCCCCTTTCGTGCATGTGTGTTTTTCCCCCGCTTCTTGCTGACTTGTCTATCGTTCCAGCATTTGATTGGCTCGATCGAGCCCGGCAAGCAGGCTGACCTGGTGGCCATCTCTGTGCGCGATGGCACTGTGGAGAACATCCCGATGTTCAGCCTGTTCACCCACCTGACCTACTCGGTCGACCGGAGCCAGTACGTGTTGTCTCTGCTTGATCGTCATCTCCTTGCCCGCTGTGCAAGCTCAGCGCGCCCGCCCACCCACCCACGCGCACACGATCTGACCCTTCGTCATCATGTATCCCTGTGCCGGTGCGCACTTTGCTCCATTCCTGCTTGACCACACAGGGTTAGTGATGTGTGGGTCGCCGGCAAGCGGCTGATGAGCGACCGGGAGCTGCTGACCATCGACATTGAGGCGGTCTACACCCGCGCCCAGTACTGGAAGCATCAGCTCATCTCCGGCACCGATCAGGTCCTGCTCGAGTCGCCGTCCTGCCTTGAGGAGACTCGTCGGGCGATTGCCTCGCTGAAGCTGGCCAAGATCAGCACCCCGGAGTGCACCGACTAAATGCCTCCCCCCCCCCCCCACCACCACCAACAAGGCACGCCACTTGTCATGCGCCTTTTCCTCACAGGGTCGCAGGGCTTGTGCTCTCTCCCATTTTGGGATGCCCTGCCTCTCTTCTTGTTCCATTCTTTCCTTGTGTTGCGCGCGTCAGCGTGGCCGTTCATGAGCTGCCTTCCGCTTAGATGATGCCCGTGCCCTGATGTCCGTGCGTATGTGTATCGCCACGTGCATGGCACCCCCTCCCCCGCCCATGTGTACAGGCTTCCATCGTGGCCGTGGCACCCCCGCGCATGGGCCTACATCATGTAGCACTGCCTTACTAGGCCGACAATGTATAGGCACATGAATATATATAAATAGAGACTCGCACACACACACACACACACACACACACACACACACACACACCTGCGATGCATGAATCATGTCTATTTGTCAAAAGCCGTTACCAATGGGCAGAGGGCATCCCGAGTATTGAGGCATCTCCACAGGGGGTCTTCTCCTCCGTCACACCGATGACCGGGGGGTGGTTTCTTTCTTCTTCTTTTTTCTTTTCACTTTTCTTCGGGCTGGCTTGTTGCGTCACTCCTCGGACAAGGGCCGAAGAAGATGTAGCCAGACTAGTCCTTCTTCTTGGACAAGGGAACTGAGGCCGCCGGGCTGTCGCGATTCTGGCCGCAGTCGCGCATGAACTTGTAGAGCGCCACGCAGATCGACAACAGGGTCGGGTACTTGACGTAGGGGATGCCCGCCTTCAGGCACTCCTCCTCCACGATGACCGCGGCATCCGGCAGGTGGGCGTAGCTCATGCCGGGGAAGAGGTGATGCTCGATCTGCGGGACATACATTGGCACATGGGCGTGCAGAGGGTGTGAGCATGAGCAGGGGCAGAAACGCAGGCGGTCGGCCAGTGATTATGGAGGAGAGGCGGAGGTGGGACAGACAGACAGACAGACAGACAGACAGACAGACAGACAGCACCCAGGCCCCCCTGAGAGAGCGGATGGCCGGGGGTTACTGCGCACCTGGTAGTTGAGACCGCCAGTGAGGAAGTTGCCCAGGCGGCCGCCCCAGTTGGCCGAATGGCGGACTTGGACCTCGAGCCAGCTTTCGACTGAGCTCGTAATGTGAGTATGCATACGGACGGGCATGTGTTGGAAAAGGGCAGATCGCCAGGGCAAGCCAGTGTAAAGAGCAGAGCAGAAAGTCGGGCACAGAGGAGGGTGAGAGAGAGCGCGAGAGGGAGCGCGGGAGAGGGAGCGCGGGAGAGAGCGAATGAGAGAGAGAGAGAGAGAGAGAGAGGGAGAGAGCGAACGAGAGAGAGAGAGAGAGAGAGAGAGAGAGCGCGAACGAGAGAGCAGGCGGCAGCGGCAAGGGAAGAGCACGACAAGAGCGGCGAAAGAAAGCACCCGTCAAGTCGACCCAGGGCCATTGGATGGGGCAAAGGGGAGTCACCATGCGGGGGAATGCGTACCGCTTTCCTCGGAGAGGGTCTTTGTGTCGCCAATGTTGTGCGACACGGCAAAGAGCCAGGACAAGCAGAAGGACAGCACCCCATTGTAGATGGACCACAGGATCAGCACCTTCACCAGGCTACCGGCCGGGGACACCAGCAGGGGGATGCCCAGAAGCATGAACAGGTTGGCGGCCTTCAGCAGGAAGGACCGGGTGAACTCCCAGCTCGAGGCGCCGTGGAACTTGACCCGACCCGTGGACCCGGTGAAGAGGCTCACATAATCCGAATACTGGATGGAGACTGCGCGCCATATGAGCCGGGCAAGAGGGGGCACGCGCCAGGAGGTGGTGATGGTGGTGAGCGGACGGGCGGGCGGGCGGGCAGGAGGAAGAGACAGTGCCAGGGTGTCATGGGGCTGTCAAATGGCCGTGCACAGGGAAGGTGCAGGCCATGGCCCACGAGGGGGCAAACCCGGCAGCGCACCTGACAGGAAGGCAAACAGCACGAAGGAGTAGAGGTGCTGGAAGCGGTGGAACCAGTATTGGGGCAGCCGGTAATCAAAGCGGAAGGTCGGCCACGCGAGGAAGATGTCCTGATCGTAATCCGGGTCGTTGGTGTGCATGTGGTGCGACACATGGTGGTGATAGGTCCACACGAGGCTGCACCCGCCGATGATGTCGTGGCAGAGGCCGAGCAGCTCATTCCACCGGCCATGGTCCACCAGATTCCCATGCATGCCACCATGCGAGAGGGTGAGGGCCACATGGCAGGTGAAGAGGCTGAGCACCGCACAGGCGGCGAAGGACAGCGGCCACCAGCCCAGCCGGGCGGCCCACAGCATGATGCTCCAGCTGCCCAGCCAGCCGACCAGGGTGAAGGCGATGCCCAGGCCGATGCCCGGGCCGCCGCGCTGGCCGCCCTTCCCCGGCGCCGCAGGCACCCGTGCCAGGACTTCCGCCCGAACCCGGCGCTTGATCTCCACGAAAACCGGCGAGTCCAGCGGATACGGCAGGAGAGTCCCATCGGCCGAGTCGGACATGCCCTCCGGCATGCGATCCAACTCCGGCAGCCGGGTGAGGTACTGCTGCGCCACATTGTCGCGGAGGTGGTAGGACTCGAAGAGCACGGTGGCATCGCGCCCGATGGCCTGCATGTTTGACACGAGGATCCGCCGAAGGGGGGGGGGAGGGGGGGGG